ATAACAGTAATTATTGCATACTAAGTGATAATTAAATCAGCTTAAATAATTACTCAAAAGGGTGACTATCTACTACACTAGATAGGCAATCATGACTATCATCATCATCAATTTACATAAATGATAACAATGCCAGCATTCAGTATATATAATCTAAAAATAATATTTGTGCAAAGTGAAGGTTGCCCAGACTAAGACAGTGGGCAGTTGGAATGGAGAGTGGAGATCAGAGAAGAAAGCATGAAGGAGATAAAATCTATAGCACTTAGGTGAGGAACAGAGATGAGCGAGAGAGTCCATTCACCAAATCAACCCTGTATAGAGCATTATGGTAAATTACATTTGGAAATGTCATACACAATAAGTTAAATTGCACCCTGTAATCTAGGGATGCTCATCAGAACAGAAAAAATTTCCAAAACTACAAAATGAAAACAATCTAGGCTGGGTAGAGAAGTGCATGTCTGTAACCCCAACACTCCAGGAGGATAAATTCACTCCCACCTTGAGTCTCAGTAACTTCATAACACCCTGTCTCAAAATAACAAATAACAAAGGTCTGGGATATAGTTCAGTTTGAAGGCCCTGGGTTTATTTCCCAGGAATGCCAAAAAAAAATAAATCTACAGTATATAAAATCATATAAATACAGAAAGCACATTTTTAAAGAAGCATGGCTCTCAATCATAGTTTTACTAACAAAATAAAAACAATACACACAATTTTTCTTTTATTTAATTTTGATAATCACCAACATCACAAAATTAAATCATTGTTCTATAAAGAAAATACTTCAGTAACCTAAACTCATCCAAGTTCACTCTGGTGATTAGCTGTTGTAGGAATAAAGCTGATAGAACGTAGAGGAATGATGCTTTGATATACCTCTTAGACAATTCCATAGTTGTTGTACTAAAAAGTTTGCTTTGGGGATCAAAGCCAATGGATTGCTTTTAGAAGACAACTGTATTCAACTATAAGCCAGAAATATGAATGTATTTCTGTGGATAGGGCTTATAACCCACAAGAGCAGGAAGATAGAAACAACTCTAGTTTTCCTGTCCCGCAGGGCCCCTCCAATTAGCCTGCATACACACATCCCTTCCTATAAAGTGTTTCATGGTGATTTGAACATTCGCATTTCCACAGACTACTCACATTCACTCAACACTGAAGGAAAAAACAATGTATCGAATAGCACTATACACGTCAAATAATACACTGGTAAGTACTGTAATTATTTACGATTCAACTGACTTAACTGGTTGCTGTGGGCTTTGGAAGAATTTTAAAAATCTAAAAATTATTCCTAGAATATATCTCCTGTAAAGGTTCTGATAAAAGTTTAACTGTACCACTGGGCTGTAGCCTTGAAAGCACAAGGGTCTAAACTACATTTCAATAACCTTAACTAGGAAGTGGACCTGGGTACTCTTTGTTCTCTTACCAATTGTTCAATTCTGAATCTCCAGAAAGATTCTCTGTGTTTCAGATTTCAGATTAAACATGAATACAGGTGGTACCATTGGGAGACAAATCAGGAATAGGTACAATCCAGATGGAGAGGTTAAAATCCTCTGGACTCCGTTTTAGTTTAACTAAACTTATAAAATCTATGTTTTAATAGCTTATTTTCTGGGGATCACAAGATTTCCTTTTGCAAATGCCCTTGATGGAATTAATGAGAAAGGGAGAGAAAAGCATATGCTTAAATGCCTGGGGGCATCTAAAACAAAGGAAGAGACTGCAGTTTATTAACGTAATTCCAACACTGACAGCATATTGCTTGCTGTAAATATTCCAGAATAATATGTACCACATAATCAGATCTCTGTAACTAATGTGATTACAGACTTTAAGATGGCGATATTTACCAACTAAACATTGGTCAAAATAGTAGCTAACATTTAGACATCTGCTTTAAAGAGAGGCATCCTTTCCACCTGCTTCTATGGACTACAAAGATACACTCTGGTTAACATATTACTGACAGGATGATGAGAAAGCTCCTGTCAGATGCAGGCCAGCTGGGTGTTTGAGACAAAATGCACAGCCCCAGCTGACTAGTTAGAGAAAGTCTGGTGAGGTACAATTATAGAGGAATATGACAAGGCTTCATGCCTGACTGATTTGAGAACCGATGACATGGCTTTAAACAGCAGTTCTCCCTACCTATGGTCACAAAACAGCAATAAGTCAACTGATACAATCTTGTAATACTATGATTTATTCCTTTGCTTTGAATGTATGAGACTCTAATATGATGTTCTGATAGTCAACCAAGACTCACTCGGGACTGAAACATCTAAGGCCTGCCTACAGCATGCATAAAATCAATGTTGTTGTTCAGGATTGCCAGAAAGCATTCCATGTGTACGTGATAATGTGTAAATCAAAAAATAAAAGCAAAACAGATTGTGTCCTTATTCATTAAACTCAAACATGAAAAAACACTATGCTACACTTTAGGACATGGGAGGAAAACCTGTTACAAATTTTTAAATATAAGAACAGTCTTGGTACTTTTGCTTACATGTCTTAAAGCTATTTTTTATTTTACAGTTTATGTTGGGGCTAAGGACATAACTCAGTGTTACAAGGCTTGCCCAGCATGAATAAGGTCCTGGATTCAATCCACAGCACTACAAGAAATTAAAAAATAAAGTTTATCGTTACAAAGTTTACCAATTATCATTTTAAATCACAAATGGCACTTGATGAAAGGGACCCTCAGTTGAGCCATGAAAAATTCACAGCAGCTATAATATTAATAACACCATTCTATCGTAATTGTGAAAATTCATAATAAATAAAATAACCAAGGAAAATAAAATTGCTAACACAACAACGGAATTATAAATGGTAAGATACTTTAATTTATGTGTTCTAATAACAAATAAAATTTTGTTAGATTTAAAAGATGATCAAGACATAAAACACAAATTCTTATATTAATTAGGGCTCTATGATTCATAAAAATAAAGGCTGCAAAAAGCCTAAAATTACTATACTAATTAAATTCATTAATAATTATTCTTTTGGGGAAGTTTCAAAGATTCTATTAAATTCTTTTTTAAGGGTCTTGCAAATTTAAATTATGATACTAAGTCCTTGACCTTAAATGTTACTATGCATAGAATGTATAGTTGGCATGCATTTACATGCAGCATATTTATAGCATACATACAGATAAATAAGAGAAATTATTCATACTAGATAAATAAAGCAGTTTCCCCTACACAAGAAGGGTGAGAAGATTATGAAAGTACATGTGAATTATGTTTATTTTCTTACCTCTTCTGCCCAAAGTGTGAGCCAAACCAGAGCTGGTAACTTAGAGGACATCAACAAAGAGCTTTCATAAATTATTATAAATGATTGGTGTTTTACTGACCTTTAATATGGGAAACAATTCCCCAGGTAGTGCCAAGCTTTCTAAGTTAAATGTTCAATGAAAGGGTAGGCCTACTAATTTTTGGTCAGACCAAGACTATCATAAAATTGCAATTAATAAATGTTGAACAGTATCCTATGCAATACAGCTTCATATAAATTTATACTTCATATAAATGTATATATCTCCTTAATCTTTCCAGCAACCTAAAGAAATTAAGACTATTATGACTATCACTTTATATGTGAAGAAACCAAGTCAAACAGAGGTTAACTAGCCATGAAAAGGAATAAACCAAAACAGAGAAAATACGCAAATATTTAAAGAACTTATATGCAGATTTATTTCTACTGTTTTCCTATGTAGAGCCCCTTATGCTTTATTTACATCTCTTATTCCTTCCTTTACCTTCTTCAGATCTCTGCTTAAATTCTACCTTATTCGAAAGGCCTTCCTTCCACTACCACCTAAAATAAAATTTAAAACTGCCCCTCCCTTCTACCTGTACACATAAACACTTTATCCTTACCCCCGATATGTATCAGCATATGACATACTAACTATTATATATTCAAAAATCTCAAAATTGTATTCTTTCATTTTTAGGGTAATGCAAATGACTCAAATGAGAGAATCAAGAGAACCGGTTTTCACATTACCGACCTACAATTATCTGTAGGGTGGACATTGAACTTCTCTGAAATACTCACGTATCACTATGAAATACTAAATAGGGAGGTCCTAGAAAAATCTTAAAATTCCTCCTCCTCTATAATGTTATAGAATGAGATTTTGTTTCTACTAAAGGAAAATAAAATATTAAAACTATGATTTTATTGTCATCAAGTAAGTCCATTTATAGAAAGGCAAATTCATGTAATATCACAATGATTTTTAATATTTTACTATTTAAATTTGTTTTAAAAATCTTAAAGTTGAATATATTAAAGCTTTATGCATAATAGAGAAAAAATTATGAAATAGAGAAAAATACTTTGAACATTTTTTAATGACTCAAGAAAAATCCTTCTATGCTCACTGCCTTTACCACAGAAGTGAAGACCTTCCAAAGGAACATCTGATTGTCATAAAACCCACGATTAATAAAAAATGCTACTGTGACTTTTAAGTTATTATTAGTCTGAAGAGCTCCTCAAAATCAGAACTATTATAGAATCTACTCCCAAACCACTACTTCGCAACAAAGATGAATCTACCTATTACCAGGTTAGGATAGAAGCTATTATCATGGCTCCTTGATTTCTTTCAACCAGGCTCCAATGGAAAAAGTCACAAGTGAATAATAAAGATCTCATAATAGCTCTTAAGAATTCTTTATATGGTAGAAGGCAGTAAAATGAACTCTAGAGAATTAAAAAACTCATCTTCTGATAAGAAAAAATAATTAACCTGCCTTAATGCATCTGAGAAGGCATTCTATAAATCAGACTTTTGTACTTCAAGAGCTAGATTAAAACCACATATATAAATGTAGAGATTGTTTTATGAGTACACATAGCACATTTCTAAATCTGTAGAGGTTTTTAGGCCTTTTTGTGAAACACGCAATACATGCTACTTAACAGGAGAAGTGTGAAGTACTTACAGTGCTTAATTTGCTAGAGGTAATAATGACGCGCCTCTCATGTAGCATACTGGCGTACAGTTGCAGCATATTGTTCACATCCACAGCAACAAAATATTCTGTGAGATTTCTCTGTACAAGTGAAAAATAACTCTGTAAGTTACAGCTCATGGTGAAAACGAAGAAAAACATTTTACATATTTACCAGGGGGTCAAAGGATGTTATTATTAAAAGTAGAATTCATTAAAATAATTAAATTTAATACTCTTCTGCTGCCACAGGAAGCATATTTTACTATTATTTGAAGCATAGCCCTACTCCACAAAAGTGTTTCTCAAAGGGTGATCAGAGAACCAAATATTTCCCAGTTTCCCCCATTCCAAACACACCAAATATTTGAAAAGAAGCTGATTTTCTGGGAACTCGCCTAAACCTTTTGTGTTACTATCTTCTGAGAAAGGTCCCAAGAATCTGATTTTTAAGTAAATACTACTCCTACTGATTGTTACACACTGGTGTTTGAGAGACTATTATGCCAGAAGATACATTTGAGCCTTTCATATCTGCTATTCACTTTATAGTTAAAATTATTGTCTTCTACTATGTACTCTAACACCAGGCACCTAAACCATGAGGCAGATTTATATGCAGACTTTGGTTCTTTATTAAGAAATTCCTTTGTTTATATCCAATATCAGGCTTGTTTTATACCACTGTAACCAAATATAATATGATGTTGTTCTAAATTGGCTCATTAACACTCAAAGGCAAGTAATTCTTAGATGAAGGATTATTTCTCAACACAGAATAGTGCTTTCTTTTTACATTGTTGCTTTCTTTTTTCCCTTAACAAGACTTTTTACACAATAAAAGGTGTCGATGAAGATATAAAAATTTGTATTCTCAGGCTGGGCATGGTGGCACATGCCCACCATTCCACCATTCTGGGAGGCTGAGGAAAAGGATCACAAGTTTGAGCCTAGCCCAGGCAATTTAGTGACACCCTGTCCTAAAATTTAAATTTAAAAAAAGTCTGGTGTATTCTCTATGGTAGTTATCAGAGAATGTTTACTTCTTTAAAACATTCAAAGCAATAATCTTTTTCTTTTAATGTGACTTTTTAAAAATGAAGCTATCAGTCATCTGTTAGTAAATGTAAAAGGAAGTTAAATGGAGAAAGCAGAAGGAAGCGACTTTAACTTTGCATCAGACACTGAAGTGAAGGGGTGATAAGCTAAGGCATAGTCAGAGGTTCTTAAGGAAGACTTAACAGGAGGTACCCTGCCCACGGCACACCGAGGTCAAGACTTGGTGTATTATGGGAACTGAGGGCTCTGACGTCTGTTTCAGGCTCATATTTACAGTACTCAAGGCAAAAATCTTTTGATAGGGGCTGTCCAAAAGACCCTTCGCATAGGGTTTCATAGAATTCATCATTCTAATTATACAGATTTTATCTGATAGACATGATTGGATATTAGAAAATTTATGCTTATTTTCTTCATCTCCATTGATTATTCATGTACTTTTAGAAAGCAAATATGCAGTAGGTTTAAAAAGATGTTTGGAAAAACAATAAATAAGTTATCTGAAAATATTTTTTCCTATTGATTTCTCTTTCACTTTTGATTGAAACTCAGAACCTAACTAAATATATATGACCTTACCTAACTATTCCAAATGACAGAAATATTTTTTTCTCATGTCATTTTTTTATCAATAACAGTTATTAAGAAAGGTATTTTAGGGTTGAGGAAAAAAGATAACACTATTATTCCTATCTCTTCATTTTTTTCTTATAAACACAGTTAATTATAATGTATCTTATTTCTCTGAACCGAAATGCATAAACTAAGATTAAAATAAATAAAATTTATAATGCAAGTAGAGTAATAAAGTAATAACTGAAAACTTACACTCTCTGGTATTGTTGGGAGTCCAGTTATATCAGGGGCAATGAAGTAAGAATGCTAATTAGTAGAAATAAATCATAAAGGAAAAAAATTAGAATTTCATATTACATAAATTTAGGTTAAAATAAGAAAAATATATTGACTAATTTAATAAATGCCAGAGACTGACACTCAGGGTTTGTTGAATTTGAGACACTCTTTTGTGAGATGGCAGATTTGTTAGATTTTATAACAACTTTCTCATATAAGAAGTTAATTATTGATTAAAAATACTTTACTTTTAAATTGAACAGGAAAATTGAACAGAAATAGAATAAGAATCTTGGCGAATGTTTTAAAGCAAAAAAAAGTATATTACCAAATGATTTTTATATATATTATAAAACTATATCATTTGGTAAAGTTCTAAAATAGCTTTTCTCATGTCATTTTCTTAACAACAGATATTAAGAAAGGTATAATGGAGCAGAGGAAAAAAGACATATAATACATGTGTATAAGAATATATAAAGTAATATGTATATTATTAAAATATACTTAGTTTAGGTTAAACAGGCAAAATAACGCTTGCTAACCCAAGAATATACTGATATCTGTTGTTTCCTGAGTTTCCATCATAAATTACAGCAAATCTCTTCTGCAAATATTAGCAAGTATATTATTTAGAAAGTAGCGTAAAGCATAATTTTTAGATGTTTAAAACTTAGTTACTTATCTCAAATAACGGTTCCTATATATCCACTAAACAAAAACTAGTTGATTTCTACACTGTACATTCATTGAAATACTTATATAAAAAGTAGAATATGTAAATGCCCTCATTTTTCCCATCATGTTCACAAATTTTATCATTCAGAAAGTACAATTTAATCATCAAAAATGGTTTATTTTCTGTTTATATTAATCTCCAAAATCATTTACTATCTTAATCACATTAAGATGCAATTAAAAATTACAAATTGGAAAGAAAGTATGTAGACAATATTTGAGCACGACTCAACTAGTTTGAACATGGTTAGCGAATACAGTCATATTGCATCATCTTCCAATATGGAAAAACAATATCAGATAAGCCACGAGATAATCTTGTGACAAAAACAGTGAAAGGGATGTCATGCTATGAATGGAATTTAAGATTGCCACTACTGAAAATGGAGAAAATGCATATGTTTGGTCTCTATTAACTACCTTTTTGGGGGGTTTTGATAGCAATGTATTTCATAAAACTATACTTTATTCTACATCACCAAAGGATAGTATAAACAGAAAATACATGCAAATGATTAATTTTAAAAGGCAATTTATAATTTCCCAAGGGACTAGAGTGACTTATAAAGATGTAGAGAAAGAAATAATGATTTTCCCAATTTAATAGTGATTTTTAGAAGCCAATGTCCTTTTAACTCACCGGTATTAGTGAGAGCTGATCTTTCAAAATTTGCTCACTGGCAATAAATATTTCTTGATTCTTATAATACATGAGAGAAAAATGAATATTTTACTTTTAAGAGAAAGCTTATATAAAAATGTTGTGTGTTCAAGACAGACGTATGCCGCTACGTTACTCACTGAAAATACTTGAATAACAATTGTAAATGCTATTCTAAATGCTTTGTTAATTTTGTGCTCTTAAAAAAAAACCTAAAAATTGTTTTCATTTTGTCAAAGTAAAGAATGCTGTGGATTTTTAGTGCTTTTGAAATATTGTTTTTTAAAACTCAGTCAACACATTAACTTTTTTGTAAATCTCTAATACTCTAGTGACTGCTACCTACTTGCAGGAACTAAAACTTCCACCATCACTGATTTTAATGTGGCAACAAAAAACTAAAAACTCTACTAGTAGCTGAAGATGAACATTCTAGTCCAAAAGTACCACTCATTAAGATCATAACTCTTGGTCCATAACATTAGTAATATGTTATTGAAAACAAATTAATTAATGAAGTTTATACAAAAGTAACCAGCTAATTTTACCAGTATGTAAGATAATGTAGCCTGAGAACAAGTGTACAAGATTTGAAAACTCAAAAGCCTAGCTGTTGAACAAGTATTTCAACCTCATCATCATCATCAGGGAAATAAAATTCAAAGCCACAATGTGTTATCATTTTAACCCAGTAAACATGGCTATTATGAAAAAGACAAAACACATTACTAAGTATTAAGGAGGATATAAAGAAAAGGGGAACTCTTACACACTGTTGGAAGGGATGTAAACTACTATATCCATCATGGAAAACAGCACAGGGGTTCTGCAAAAAATTATAAATACAACTGCCCTATGATCCAGCATTTCCACTCCTGGGTGTGTATCTAAAGAAAGGGAAATTGGTGCACCTACACTTCCATGTTCACTACAGCACTACTCACAACAGCCAAGGTATGAAACCCATCTATGGGCTCCTCAAAAGTTGCATATGTTTTTGAAATTGGGGTATATATCCATAATTGAATTCTATTCAACTGAATACTACTCAATTGAATACTATACAGCCATAAGAAATGAAATCTTATAATCTAAAGCACTATGGATGAAACTGGAAGAAATTATAGGAAGTGAAATATGAAATATGAAAGATGACATTTTTTAGAAAAACCAAGGCTTTTCTTTGTTCCCTCCTGTTCTGCTGCATTTGCACCAACACTGCATTCTTTTGACTTCAATGACCTATATGTATGAATTTCTCCTCATTGCTTTACTGATTTCCCTTCTTCTTCCTCCTCCTCCTCCTCTTCCTCCTCCTCCTCCCTCCTCCTCCTCTTCTTCTTCCTCCTCTTCCTCCTCCTCCTCCCCCCTCCTCCTCCCCCCGCTCCTCCTCCTTAATATCTGGACAACTAGATCTTAGCCTCTCCTCTACGCTCTCCATCTATTTTCAGTTGCTACAATTTTTATCTGCTGATGATTCCCAAATCTGCATTTCAGGTTATCTTGAGCTTTCAATCCACCAATCTCCAAATGACTACTAAACATTTCCACCTTTGTGGGATTCAATGAGCCAGTGCTAAAGTCACAGATTAGAGACATTAGCGCAAAAAGAAAGCATGATGTTCATTCTAGAAGCGAAGACAACAATGTGAACAGAATAATGAATTTAGGAAAAAATAGTGAGACAAAAAACATGAATAAAGCTAAGAAGCAGATGGATTTGATAGCCTGGTCAAAAGTGTAAACTAATTCTCTATAAATGTAGTTACAAAAGCTCCTTAGCAAGAGACTTTACATTTTTTAAGTTTACTCTGGCAGTATTTTGAAGAAAGGACTGAAAGAAGAGACTGTAAGAACAATTTGAAAGTGCCGCACACCTGAACTAGGTGATGACAGTGGAAAATGTAAAAACCGAATAACGTAAGAGAACGTTATTATTAAATGAAACAAAAGGAGAAAATTTAAGCAAGAAAAAAGTATCAGAGAAAGAATGTAAGGATGACAATTTCCTGATCCTGAAAAAATTTAAGACCTTCTTTATATGTTTCAAGTTACTTTTTTTGTAATATTCCTTACATCTTTACGTTTTTTCTTCTTTATTGAGACAGAAGTTCATTTGTTGTGGGGGAGGGGGGGTTACCGGGGATCGAACTCAGGACCTTGCACTTGGCAGGTGGTGGCACCACTGAGCTAAATCCCCAGCCCAATTCATTATTATTTTGGAAGAAAAAAAAAAAAAAGCAATAAAATGAATGTTAACTCTCTCTTTAGCATACCAAATTAATGGAAACATCAATAATTTATTTTCATGAACTTTGAACATTTACAAAACTGCATGCGCTTTTAGAAATAGATGGCACAGTTCACTGAATATATTACTCATTATAGACTCTATTTTGACAAACTTCACTTAGATTCCCAGTGTTTTGTGATAACATTAGAAGATGTACTGAAGTACGGGGAAAGAGAACTTACAACCTAGAATTTTCTTTCCATGTATTATATACCATTATCTCTTTATGTTAAGTACTGTTTCGGGTTTAGGAGTTGTAGCAAGAGTGTGTGTGTGTGTGTGTGTGCCCTTTACTGTATGCAGATTAAAAAGGAAAATCAATGTTCCTCACAACCAAAATATCCTGACAAATTTGGTTATTTTCAGTTCATACTAAAGTTTGTTAATTCTGTAACTTAACAGCTACCAAAATACACAATATATCAAGTTTGATAGTTATAGCATGTCAAAAACTCAATATTATCACCTAGTAATGTTAGTACCATCACTGTCTTTGTCTTAGAAATAAAAGTGACTTTACAAACAATTTCTATAAAGTACATGTGTTCTTATGTGAAAAATTACTATGACTCCAAAAAGATGATTAAATACTTACCATACTCAAATTGACAGGAGTGTTTGCCTGTGGTACTGGGTGGTTATAGAGTGATTTGAGAGTTTCATTCAAATCATTTTCCTTGAAAAATACAAAAAAGTATATTTAATAAATAAAATATATATCAAGCAAATACAATAAAAATACCCTTGTATATTACTGGGTAGAAAATAAAAATGGTACAGGCACTATGGAAAATGGTATGGCAGTTTCTCAAAAAGTGACACATAAAATTACTATGTTATACAGCACTTATATTTATACATATACTTAGAAAAACCTGAGTAAGAATGAGAAGTGACATTTTTACAGCCATCTTCCATAGAAGCCCTGCTCACAATAGTCAAAAGGTGGATGTAAGCTATGTGTGCATTAACAGATGAATAAACAATTTGTAGTATATGATAAAATACTATTCTGAATTAAAAAGGGGATTCTAACACATCTTATAATATGAGAATCTTAAAGACATTTTGATAAGTAAAATAAATCAAACCAGTCACATAAGGACGCTGTGTGATTCCACTTATATGAGTACGTAGATTCATACAGGTACACAGTACAATAGTGGCTGACAAAGAAGAAAGGAGGAGGAAACAAATATTGCTTAATGAGTACAGAGTTTCACTTCCCAAGCTGAAAAGTTCCAGAGGCGTGTAGTATTGTCAGTTGTTCTCTCCCACCCGCCAGGATGGGAGTCGAACTCAGAACCTTGCGCTTGTGAGGCAGGCACTGTGCCAATGAGCTAAATCCCCAGCCCAAGTACTGAAGGTTAGTGAACAGTGTGAATGACAAAAAAACTAGACACTTAAAATAATTAAGGTGGTAAGTTTATGTCATGTGTATCTTAACACTATAAAAACAATAGAGAAATAGCATAGCTTACCAATTCTTTAGCCAAGTAATCTGCCAGAGTATTTAGAAGCTTGTAGTATACCTCAAACCATGGCAGGTAACTGTAACAAAAAATTGTTTTAGTAAGTGTGTGCATATATATACATGAAATTCAGAATCAAGCAGAGGAAATAAGTTTATACTTGTTTACATGGGTTGATCCTGGAAAACACTTTTTAAAAAACTATACTCATGTTCTCTTTACTGTTTCAGAAAAGTTTTATCATCTATTTTTAGTTCCATAAAATAAGACCAATTCAAAGTTCAATTATAAAACGTTGTTTATTACATACTTCTATTTTACATACTTCTATTTTAAAAGTAATGTGATTTCATAGTTATCACTAAAGGCATTCATAAGATGAAATTTAAGTACTATGCTATATTAAAACTAATTTCAAAAGGCATTAAAAACAACATACAATTATAATGATATATAATTTAACTACACGTGTATATTATGAGAAATACATCTTTAGGCAATTTCCTCTTCTGAGTATCACAGAATGTACTTTCACAATCTAGTAAGACTTCAATGCAGGGCTGGGTATTTAGCTCAGTGGTTCCAGTGCCTCCATCAAAAGCAGAAGTACCCAAGTTTGATCCCCAGTACCAAAAATAAGAGTTCACTGTCACTGAGTAATAGAATCTTGTGGTTCCACTGATGGACAGGTGGAAGTCACTGACTTTACCCCACCACCTTGCAGCACAAAACTGTACTTTTTTACAAATACATTGAATTGAACTTGTAATACTATAGAGCTATGTATTTAATCAGGCCTTCAGAAATTATATTTAAATAGGATGGTAAATCCCAAACATCAATATAAATATTAGAAAGCCTATTCTAAAAAGTGTAAAGAGTGTAATTGCTCTTAGACAAAATCAATTTAATTCATTTTGCTAGATTAAAGTATAACTATCTTTTAAGAAAGCTAAACATTGAATCTAAAAATCATTTGTATGAAGTAAAATTTTATTCTCTATTAACAAACTGAAATACTGGTTTACTTAAAACCTGCCCAAAGTTTTAAATTTATTGTTTATTAAAATCAATACTTTCTATACAGAAAAACAGGGAATCAAAATTTACATCAGCATTGTTAATTATCAATTAACAAATACTCATTTTTTTTCAAAGCATTACTATTATAAGCCACTCAGGGAAAATATTGTGATAAGGTATAGTATGTGCATTAAAACACACAGAACTTTTTAAATCAATGAATAGCACTTAAAGACCATTCTATCAGAATTTTTCCCATGATTTATTAGTAATGAATCATGCTTTTTGAATCAGGATCAAACTAAAGTCATAACAGAAGAAGAATAGTTAAATAAGCTACAGTACCTTTATTCAACAGGGTAATATGGAGTTCTTTAAAATGGTAATTACAAATACTAATGATGTCTAAAATGCCTATAGTATTTAAACATATTTACCCAACTATGGTTAAACCGAGTGAGTTGAATACATGGACTTATTTCTGTGACCTCAGAAGTAGCACTAAAATGACAGCATATGAGTGTAACAGGGCACAGATTAATAAGTTTGGAGGATCTAGAAAAAATAATGTGTGATATTATGAAGAAGCTGAGCAAACAAAGTGACAACTGACTTAGCAGGATAGAAGAAATCAAAACCTAAGTGCCAACAGGTGGAAAACTGACCAACAAATATGCAACCTACACAACTGTGTGACACTGATTTCGGAATCTCTTAAAAAATCACCTCACGATGCCGTTTTCTTGGTGTAAACTTACCACTGCCCAGTCACTGTTTCCAATTCTGTTTGGCACCTTACTCTTAAATACAAATTATTCCAACCACAAGAAAAAATGAAGACACACCTTTATGTATAAATGAGCAAACATAAAAGGAGCAACAAGTAGATGCCAAATCAGGAGAAAATTTTCCCAAGTATTCATAGCAGCTCTGAATAAAAAGTAGGCTGCTACTAAATAAAACTAATTTTTTTAAAGGAAAAACAATTAGTAGAGAACAGGAAAGGGCTTTCAGGAATTCTAAAAGCTGCTGCTGGATGTGGTGGCACACAACTATAATCCTAGCTTTCGGAAGGCTAAGATAGAAGGAAGGGTTAAGAATTTGAGACTAGCCTGTGCGTTCAAGGCCGCACAGAGTACACAGCAAGACTATGTCCTACAAAAAAAAAAAAAAAAAAAAAAA